GCTCCTTCACCGGGGAGAACAGTACCCTTCCTACTCCAGTCCCGTTCCAGGTGTGGAGGAGACAGCCCCTTGCCAGGGGCCAGGGCCCTCGCAGGATCCCAAGCCACACAACACCTGCGTGGAGTGGCTACCTGGTCCTTCTCCGTGGCTCTCCCACTGAGCCGGGAGTTCTCATCCACGAGGCGGGCATTCTCATTCTGGGCTTCTCTCAGCTGCAATTCCTGAGAGACCAGAGGAGCTCTGGGGAGGGAGCCTGGCACCCACATCCCTCCCCTCTCCACACAGAGGACCATGCCCTCCCAGTCCAGGCCTTCCTCCCCAATCTGGAGCCTGCGTCAGCCAGGGAAGGAGCCCTGCCCAGCAGGGAAAGTGTGCTCCTCGGGGCAAGAAGGATAAAAGCTGAGCGGAGAGGGAGCCGCCACCTGGCTGGCCTGGGGGACGGGGGAGCTGGCCTCTGGGAGGCCCTCGGAGCTCACCAGCTCCTCACATCGCCTCTGCTTTTTTCGGGCTTCCAGCTCCAGGCTCTGGCATTTCTTCCGCTTCTTGCTAAGCTCTGACTCCTGAGGGGTCAGAACCGAGGGCTCCTCATGTGGGAAGGCAGAGCTGCCCACAACAGGCCTCCTCCAGCCCTTGCCCTGGGACTTACCAGCTGCTGCACCCTCTGCTGTTTCTCTGGCTCCCCTAGGACCACGGGTGGGGTTTCCACATCCTCCTGGGGAGTAGCCTGGAAATGCCCAGGGGCAGGGGACTGGCACCTGAGAACAGGGCCCCAAGGCAGCCTGCTCCCAGCCCAGCCTGTCTGTGGGAGGTTCCCACCTCATCTCACAGTCAGCCAAGAGATCCCTGAGCAGGAAGTGGGGGGAGGGGGTGCTCTCTCCCCACCCATCCCATCATCTCCACCTGATGTGGAACTGCAGAGGCTGCACCTCTGAGTTTTCCAGACATTGTGCTTTGAGATCCTGAGGCCCATGTGTGCCCTGGGAGATGGGTCCCTTATCCAGGCCAAAGCTTTCCCTTTTTAGCTCCTTCCAGCAGCAGCCCCGCTCTGCACTCAATAACTGCCTGGTGTCCTTCCATGACTGGCAGAGAACTAGGCGGCTACCTGGGTCCCCGGGGATATGGTGTTCCCAGAGCTAGGGGTTCTGGACAATCCAAATCTGGGCTTGGCCTCCGGCAATGCAAAACCTGGCCAGGGTTCCCCCCAAGCCCACCCTGTGGCACCTCCCATTTATCTGTGCAAACTCCAGAGGACAGGTCTTGATGGATGCATCTCCCTCCCCGCGCCAGGCAGAGGGGCAAAATCTAGCAAGAAGCGCCCGACACCCCGAGGCTTGGGTCGCTATGGAGTCGCTTCTCCCACCCCTCTTCCCAGAAGGAGGTGGACCTAAGTGCTACCCAAGGAGAGAGGATGGAGAGGAGCCAGACATCCAAGTTCTGGGGGCCCCGGAGTGGGGTCCCTAGCCGTCGCAACAGGGGCTAAGCCCCGCGCCCAGTGAGGGTCGCCCATACCTGGAGCCGGGGCGGACGCTGCCCCGAGTAACGGGGGCGGGCCTGGCGGACCAGGCGGGCGCTGAAGGGGGCGTCCCCGCGCAACAGCGGCGGCGGGAGGCGGCGCGCAGACTCAGCCCCGGGCGGCTGCCAGGGCAACCTGGGAC